GGCAGAATTCGAACTTGATTTCCATAAACAGCATTCGCCGGCGAAGAAGTACGACGTGAACTTCTCCTTCAACAGAGTTTGCTTGAAAAGGTCTCATGTGGCCGTCTCAGCTGCGACAGATCCTCTACTGTGCAAAATCCTCTTCCCCGATCCAACACCGCCGACCAATTCCTCGTGCTCACCCATATTCCAGGCTTCACTAAACATCAGAGATTCCAAGATTCGCACGTTGAGAAGGATTCAAAACCTTGAAGGCCTTGTACCTTATCTCATCGACGGACCGCTTATAGATCATCGACCTCTCAGTGACATGGAGGCCGAATCGAATCTGAGCATCACGGGAGCTCGATCAAATCTTTCTATCACCGGGCACATCATTCGGGAAGCCATCGTCCGGATTTACAGGGCCTCCTCCGACTGCAGAATACTTGTGTGCTCTCCCAGGAACAAGACGTGCGATGCACTCATGCAAAGTTTGTTCGACGAAATCCCAGAGACGAAGTTGTTCCGAGCTTATGCAGCCTTTCGAGACTGGGACCTTGTGCCGGAGGACATTATGCCGACATGCATGTACGAAGGGGAGTGCTTCGTTTGCCCACCTCCCGATGAGCTGCAGCAGTTCGCCGTGGTGGCGTCTACGTTCATGAGCAGCTTCAGGCTTCACAGCGCCGGAATCAGAGCCGACCACTTCACTCACATTTTCCTGGTGGATGCTTCGTCCGCCATGGAGCCCGAAGCGACGGTTGCTCTCGCAAGCCTGGTTAGCGAGAAGACGGTCATCGTAATCACAGGTTCGTTGAACGACGGGCCAAAATGGGTGAGATCAGGAATGGCACGGAGGAAGACTGGACTGAAGAGATCTCTGTTCCATAGGCTTCGGGAGCGAGAGCCCTACCGCAACATCGATCCTATGTATATTAGCATCCTCAGCCCAAACTAGCCGGAAAGCAATAAAGGGTTGCCTGAGATGATATATAGGACTGCGGTGATAGCGTTGTGTTACGTACGAGACGACGCTCCAAGTTGTTCTGTGGAGCGTCCTCTACTCTCATTGTAATGCAGGGTGGTAGTAATGCAATAAATATATAATAAATTCCTAATTATTTTTTGCTTGTGGGTGTCTCGAGTCGTCTATGCAGTTGTATTTCCGTAGTTGAATGATTTTATGTTCGTTTATATGTTTTCCGTTTATCTACCCACACAATGATTGGTGGTATTAATAGGTTTTCACATGGGTCCCGCATAGTTGTGTCAACGAAAGTAAAACAGGGTGAGTAGAAAAAGCGCTCGAGGATGCAAAGGTGTGCACTAACAGACCACTGAACGCAACATCTTTTGGCGAGCGAGGATCCCGTGTATCAATCCGATCACGATATTGAAGATAAAACGTTACGCTTGGTTAGTGTCTCGGCCCCATGTTGACTGTTCGACAAATTGCGGCCCCCAGCTGTGTTTGGAATCGTCTGAGAGACAGGCAATCCAGGATGTGTCTCCCGGGACGCGAAGGCTACTTTCCCGCCTTGTAGACCGTGACGTATCGCGTTCCACTTTTTCTACGAACAGTAGTACGTGTCCCACGGTCGACACGTTGTCTTATAATGGGCGGAAGCGAAGTCCACGTGGACCATCCAATGCTGCCGGTCAGAAGACAAGTAGGTTTGTAGTAAAAATTCTCACCGCTTAGCTTTCTTGTCTTCCGAGTATAATAAGCTTCTTACAAGCAACAATGAAACTACACTGTCTGATGTGCCCAACGATCATTGGAGAGGAAATATAGAGAGATATGATTGTAGTAGAGAAAAGGAGTTTGAATGGGTATTCTTGGTGCTTTGTGCCATATCCTCTTCCGGGGAGAAGTAGATGAGCGCTTCGATGAGTCGAATGGAAGAAGATGTACGAGTAGAAGCAATAGCGAACTAATCCATTGTGCCACTTATCCTAGAGAGGACTGGCTGATATAATCTCTGCCTCGTCGATCTCGAGTATGAGGTATCTCGTCTTGAAACGACCAGTGACGATCTGACACCTGAACTCATAGGCAACCTGACTGGAGCACCGGAGGCCGTATTAGAACCCCTCAAATTCCTTGTAAGAGGCTACGTCTCTCTTCTCCCGTTCGGAAGCCTAGTTCTTCTCCTCCCAGGCCCCTTTCGCCTCCTTAGCTTCCAGGCCCCTTTCGTCTCGGGTTCTTCGGCATGACGGATGGCCAAGCCCAGATCCAATGATAGTTTGGAGATCTCGACCTTTGTCCTCCTTCATGCCTCCACAAGGTGCTGCTTCGCCTCCTCGGCTTGAAGGCGGACCCGAGTCGACTTCGAAAATAACTCTGCAACCCAGGTCATGCTTGCCTAGGCTTGCAAGGCGTAGTTATACCATATGTGTATGATACTCTAGGCCGAATATCGAGTTGGTCGTGAGTCATACTTATCAGAACTCATTCTGACTCAATGAATTATCATCTCTTATGATAATTCACTCGACTCATCGACTACGGACGAACTAAGCCACTACAACCCAGTCCCTAGACAATATAGGGGAATCCAATTCATTGGACTTGTCTATCCTTAGTTACCATGTATTTGTAGTCCCTCATTTATCTAATCCCAAATATCGTATACTGGGCATGGGACTGTCAAGCTCATATAGAATCTACTCGAGTCTCGCTCTAATCGGATTCTCTCGAAGAACTCTTTCTCTCTCGATCCGAATGATCCTAGCAAGAGATTTGCCTGAGCAAGAATATATAAAATATTTTTTTAATGACACTGAGAGCGGATGATCCTCTATCGACACTCAATTGCCCTTGTAAGGTTGACGATCACTCCCGATGATCGGTTATGCAAGATTTTAGAACATCCAGACCTATTATAAGTCTAATATCAAAGAGCAAAGTACTCATATAGGAAATCATTGGTATCTCAAGTCTAAGGATCAAACACACGACCGAGGCCATAGAATCGTTGTATGTTAATGAGTTATCATTAACCATCCAGCATTCCGTGAGCGGATCAATAAGTAAACTCATTCTCTAATGACACATGCACCGTATCCTTAATGTCCTCACACGAGCAACTATTAAACCAATCATCTCCATCATATGGACGGGTATATAGCACACCAATATGTCTGGTTATCTTGATGTCTCTCTTGAGTAACCTACGATCGGGATTATTTAGGGTATGTATTTAAATACGAATCAATCTCATTATCACGATCTCATCACGATCTGATTTTCATTGCACGGATTCATGAACATCACAATATATACAACATAAAGTAAGAAAATATCAATAATAAAAAGCAAAAAGACTGTGTAGCGTAGCACACATGTCATCACTAACGTGATTTGCTTGTAGGGCACCTATGACTAGCAATAGGATCATCGACGGTCAGAAGGCGACCCCGTTGTCAGGACGCAACCATGTAGCCACGAGACAACCCTCTGCCCAAGGACACCTGGATGACCTAGTCCTAGGGAGAAACTTTGCAACCAGGAAGATCCTGGTCCGCCTTTCCGACTTTCCCGAACTGGGTCCTCACTAGCAGAACATCTTCCGACAGGGTAGACTATGCGGTCTCACCACTCCAAGGCCAAATCGACCCCCGCGAATTGTCTCTCTTAAGGACCTCCTATATTGATTTGCCATATCACTAGATCTCTCACGTCAACCAGAACGATGTCTATATTTATTCGTCTCTCTTAAGAACCTTCAAATTTATTCGTCTCTCTTAAGAACCTTCAATAGTAAACCAATCGTGTCGACTTATCAGTTAGGAGCAGAACGATGTCTATCGATGACCTTTTGTTTTATATAGAGACTATTGCATTCTGCAACCTTCGGGCCAGAAGAAAATTTAGCCTTTCAAGGTTTGTCTCTCGATATCATTAGCATTGTAGAAGAACGTCAGATGCTTAAACAAGAAGATATATCGACTTCAGCATGCAGTGTTCTTTATTTATCAAAGACTAACTAACACTGGTTTAATCGTTGACTCGTTCTTTTGTACCACGGAGTCATCTGTCGCAATCGTGGTAAAGAGCAAAACAGAAGCGGTAGAATTTGGCCGTGATTTCCATGGACAGCATTCGCCGATGAAGAAGTACGATGTGGGCTTCTCCTTCAACAGAAGGTCTCATGTTGGCCGTCTCAGCTGTCCTCTACTCTGCAAAATCCTCTTCCCCGATCCAACCAATTCCTCATGCTCGCCCCTATCCCAGGCTTCACGAAGCAACAGAGATTCCAAGATACATCGCACGTTGAAGGCATCGTACCTTATCGAGGGACCGCTCAAAGATCATCGACCTTTCAGTGATATGGAGGCTGAATCTGATCTGAGCATCACAGGGCACATCTTTATTCGGGAAGCTATCGTCCGGATTCACAGGGCCTCTTCCGGCTGCAGAATACTCGTGTGCTCTCCCAGGAACAAGACGCGTGATGCACTCAGACTTCATAGCGCCGGAATCAGAGCCGACCCGGTGGATGTTTTATAGAGAGAGTCTTTTGCTCAATGTATGTACCTCTACTCCATTGGAATCGGTCGATTTCAATCCAAGAACTCACAGATTGCAGCTTTTCGAGAAGAAAACAGTTTCCTGATAAGAGGTTGTTGGTCTCCGGACAAGAAAAGACTTAGTTGAAAGAAGAGGAAACAGAGACAGAGTGAGGTGGTATGGATCGAGATGCTCAAAGCTCCTCGATGATATCCTAATCTACTTTACTTTTTGCCGGACACCACTAGTAAAATACTGTGATGTAGCATAAACAAATCAATTCAAAGCATGGCCGAAGAGCTCATGCATTCAGGACCATCAGCGCACCGAAGAAAAACTCGATCTTGATTAATGGAAATACAAGGAAGGAGGCAAGAACACGAGGCAGCAGAAAGAAAGATAAACTCGAGAGACAGACAGGCCAGCTGAAGAGAAGGCGAGAGGATGGATTAACCACACAGATCACACTAGACATGATGATCGATCGCAAAGCAGCAGCAGCATCAGCAGCGAGAAGAACAGGTACAGTTTTTATTAGCTCTCACACAAACCAAATGGTCCACAAATACATACACAGAACCCCATTATTGCCATGCTGGTAAATCAAAGAAATATGGCTACAAATATAGAATGGAGCTTTGGAAACGGGGAACTTACAGGGTTTGACAACAGAGGGTTCCCTGAAGTAGGATATCGAGGTGCTGTTGCATGTTCCCAGCTACCGATCACGATTGAAGCTCCCACGCCCTCTTCTACCTCAAATGCATACGATGACCACAATATGAAACCCTATTCTTCGTTCGCACTGCCTCCGGCAAAGAGAAGAAGGGGATAGATAGCCACAAGCGCTCTCCTCTGATCCCCAGAGATGTAGAATGAAGAAGCCCTTTGCGAAGACAGCCAAATTCCAACCATCCATCATCATCATCATCTGTGCTTCCGAGATGCCTACGAGTAGTCTCCTTGAGAAACCCATGGGAAAGTATTGTGCACGACCGATCCACAGAAACCCTAATAACCGAGACGGAAATCAAGAAAGAGGGCCAAAGAAAGACAAGGCAGGCAATAAAAGACTTAAGTCCGCATCACTCCAACCCCACAAACAAACTAAGGCTTTTTTTGGTTTTTTGACTCCAAGAGCGAACCACTAGAACCCTAACCCTAACCCACCCACGCAATCAGCGGGCCTCGTCGTCGGTCCCAGCTGCCGCCCCCGCGGCGGCCGCGCCGGGGGCGCCCGACAATGAGGCGAGAAGGTTGAGGTGCCCGGCGAGAGGAAGATAGTTCCCGACCCGCGCCGCTGACGCCTCTCCCATAGGCTGACCCGCGAACCTCCCGTTGAGCGTGACCGGCACCATCTCCGGCGTGGCGAAGCTCCAGACCTGCCCGAAATCCTGCCGGGCTGGCAAGGCCCAGAATCCAGCCGCCGGACCGATCCCCATCCCCGCCCCACTACTTACGCCGCCGACTCCCCCGGTGACGGTGTCTTCTTTGCCTCCGGAGTCGTCGTCCGCGCGCAGGCGCTTGCCGAGGATGAAGGGAGCGGGCGCGAGGGCGTGGGAGAGGAGGTGGGTACCGCCGCTGACAGCGGCCGCGGATGAGGAAGGGGTGGGAAGGGAGAGGGGTGCACCGGCCCCGGAGTTCCCGGCGGCGCCGCGGAGAAGGGAGGAGGAGACGGTGGAGAAGCTGGCCGGGGTGGTGCCAGTGCCGGTGGCGGCGATGATGGAGGGCTCGGCCTGGCGAAGGAGCCACTCGATGGTCTGGCCGTCCGACTTGTGGCCCAGCTCGCGTGTGAGCTGGAACACCCGGGCGGCGCAGATGATGGGCATGCGGATGCGCCGCCCGCGGCCGTCCACCTTGCTGTGACGGTCCTTGGACGGCGGCTTCTTGACCGCCAGCGCCCCGTTCCCACCCGCGGGCGCCAGCTGCCGCTGCTGCTGCTTCTGGCCCTCGAGCGGGCCGCTGCCGCTGGTGCCGCCGTCAGGGTTGCTCATGGCCCCCCACGGAGCGAGTGAGAACAGCGCAAAGAATACAAAAGATTAAAAAAATAGAAAAGAAAAGAACAGGAGAGGAAGAGAGATAGGGGGGGGCGCGATGGGAGCAAGAGCGAAGGGTCCGTTTGGCTGAAGAGGTGGGAGAAGACTAATGATTGAGGCGAGAGAGAGAGAGAGAGAGAGAGGGGGGCGCAGAAGCAGGAGCGGGTGGAGACAGAGGGAAGAGCACATGGGTTGGTGGGGCCCACGCCTTCTTCCTCCCTCCCCTATTTCAACTTCTCCCTCGCGTCCTACCGGCCGTCTCCTCCCTCGACGCCATCAGAAGCGAAGCGGAGTCGGCCCATCCAAGATCCGACTCCGATTCTGGACCCGATCCATCTCCGTCCATGATCAGAATAATTGACTAGGTATCCACCGTTCAACGAGCGAGACTTATCGGCGTGTTCGCAAAACAAAGGATCGATTCAGGTCCTTATCGGATTCAGGCCGCGGCCATTTCCGCATCCGATCCAACGACGTTGCTGATCGACCGCTCGAGGCCGACAGAATTCGAAACCTGAGTCAGGCTCATGTGCGCGACGCGAGGTGGTGGTACGGGCGGGGAGCACGGTGGAGGATTGCGGCCGTGGATCGGCCGCCGGTCGCTTTCCATGTCGGGAGGGGGGGGCTGTGGTCCAGCCGGAGGTGGGGGAGCCGGGCACTGCAGTGCAACCACCAACACCCGCTTTTACTGTGCCACACTCAAAGAGCCTTCAAGGCTCCCCAGGGACCACTCCTGTTGCGTGACAGTGATCTCCATTGGATAAGCTCACTGCTACAGTGTGCTCCCTGTCAAAAATCTTCCGATTACATCTCATATCGAATGTAAATTTACCTCCAGAACTGAAAACACATCATTCTTTTGAATCCGAGTCATCAGTTGTATTTACAGAACAACAATGTCCAAGTAACCTTTTCATTAGAGCTTGCGGAGAACAAAATACCAGAGAATGACATGTGTGGCGAGAAGACAATGATGATTTTTAATGTAAAGCTGCGACTTTTGGTGTTGGAGACCTTCACAACAAATAGTTCGTGAACAGCAGTCATGAGCATGCATGCGACGTAAGGGTATAAAGAAGACTCGAGGTAAAACACTTTCCACCCACATGTAACGCTTCCGGAGAACATCTTCTTTACAGGAATCACAGGCACGCATGCATGGCAACCAACGTAAAAGTAGAAAGAAGTGTGCCGGTAAAACGCCCGAAGGAAACACTTTTGCGGTACCATCCTTTTCACTGCAATCACAAAGCATGCATGCGACGTAAAAGTAGAAAGCAGGTCCGCGGTAAAACACCCGAGGAAAACGATTCTCTTTTACGGCGGCCTCACGCATGCATGCAACGTAAAAACGGAAACAATACCCGCGGTAAAACGACGGAACAAAACGGGATCCCGCTGTTCCAGCTGTCGCGTCCTCTGTGGTTAGGTGAAGCCTGTTTAGTCTACCGCAACACCACAACCCGGCCGCTCCTTCGTTTACTTGGGACCCGCTGGGCCCGACGCGCTGGTCGACGTCGGATCGAGATCCGAGGGTCGGACAGCAACCCGGGATTCTGGTGGCGTCACACCTGATATGCGGGGCCCGTTGCTCGGTCAGTCGGGTCCGCTCGGTGCCCTCTTTTCGTGAGTCGTCGCTTTCGCTTGACCTTTTTTTTTCCTGCTTTCCAATAATGAGGGGGACAGATAAATAGCACCCAGTGCGCGCCTCGATACGCGCTCGCTGCACCCGCCTGGCCCTCTCCGTCCGAGAGCTACGAGCGTGGACGGGGGGGGTGACGATATCGGAACCGGAATAATTTGAAGCGGATTTGTGGCGGGCCCGCGGCTAGTTGGCGGTGGGCCCCTGCGCGGAGAAGACGCTTCATCACATCCCGACTCGGAAGACGACTTAGCTCCCGATGGGTACTGTTGATCCACATCAAGAAGTGCAGTGTCCGGGGTCAGCTCACCAGAGCCAAGTGGGGACGTGAAGCATGGCTCCTTCTTCCACACACCCATGAATAAGATGAGCAGTAGAAATGGTTTTCCATCCCAGGAACCAAGTGGCACTGTCTCTCGGAAAGCTGACCAGTGGAGCATGAGATTGACGTGATCTCATATGTAGGCCTCACCTATCAGAAATCTATACATATATGTAGGATGAGAATCACGGCCATGGCATCCTCACTTCCAAGATGATGGCTAAGAATCTCGTATTAGAGTAAGAGCATATAAGAACGGGTAGAGACCTCGAAAGCAAGAGCGCTGCTGTTCCCGATCATCTGCAGTGTCTGGATCGTAGTTTTAAGTACGTCGACAGTACAAGAACATATAATCCAAGTACGTTCTCTCAGTGTACACATCACTAAAAAGTGCGGTCTGCAAAAGCCTCATTCCAGTGGCCGGCTTTATCAAAGTAGAGGGGCTGCATGAGTTCTTCCTGCATTCTCTTTATCTTGCAAGACAACCAGCAGTATGATAGCGTTGCTTGGGAGAGAGGAGATGTCTTGTCACTCCAAATGGATCCATGAGTCGATGAGTGGTTCAAATTTAGAGTCTGTTTCATGGGAAGAAGGTTAAGAGAGAAAGATTGATGTTGATGTCATTGTTTCTCTATCTACCTCTATCTATATTGGATCGTACTCTTCTTCTTGGAGGTATATAGAAATTAACCTACCTATCTCTGCCAACTTAATTCAAGCTCGTGAAACCCAAGTCTAGTAGAAAAGTTGCTGTAGTTTGGCTCTTCTCCCACCTGTTTCTTCTCCCCCGAGACCAGTGGATTAATGAGAGCAAATTAAATAGGCATTAGATGATTACAAGTAATGTCAAGTAGGCAGGCAGGAGATTGAGGAAACATGATTCCATCGTCCTGCTGAGGTATAATTTCTCTTTATTGTCTTCCATTAACAGCAAAACATGGGTCAAGTGGCTGCTTCCCCCACCCAATCATCCTCATCTAATGACCTGGATTCCAGCCACCAACACCTCCTTTTGCGTGTTACCATCTCTTCCCACCGGGGTTAAACAAATACACCATCTCTCTCTCTCTCTCTCTCTCTCTCTCTCTCTCTCTTCCCTATTCTCCTTCTCCATTACATGCCATGACGCATGCAGTCAACTTGCAGTATAAAAACAAGAAGGAAACATTGCAATCTCCTCATAGCTGTCAGAACATGGACAGAATAGAATAATTTCCTCGAGGACAAAGCCAAAGCCTGGAGACAAAGTGTAGATGTATTACTTGCAAGTTCTCCACCATCGTACGCCATCAAGTGAAGCATAATTCCAATGATTGAAGTGACTTGTACAAGCATATAGCAACCTATTAATGTGTCCTTTTTTTCTGTATCATTTTTCTTCCAAATCGTATTCTTTTTTCTTGGAACGATCGATTCGATCGACCGAAAGACTGACGTCGAGAAATGCAATGGCAGCACTACAACATGGAGGGGATATCCTTTGTTGTTTTATAATGCTAGGATATCATGCATCAGATTTCCTTTACTTAGCATTGTCAAATATATTATTTGGATATTCTAATTGCACGCCTACTACACATTTTTATATTGTGCTAAGTTTCAAATGATGTTCTACTTTATTCCTATGCTGACATTTGTGGGCGATCCATTACAGTGTGGTAAGAGCTTTTATTAGTTTAAAGGACGCAGGCGATTAAATAATTCAACACAAGCAATCGAAGAATGGATGTGGGGAACTATGGTTGAAAACTCCCTTCCCAAGGTGATGGTGATCAACGCATTACAAACTAAGCTTGCTCTTATACCTTTCTAGCGTTCCATTATAGGTCGTGATTGACTATTATGAACTTTAATCGCTTCCATCATACATCATTTATTTAGTCTGGTAAGACTGCATACATTAACTACATTGATAATGCTAAATAGATACAGAGATCATTTGTAATGAAAGAGGAAGCAACTCAAGAAAATGACATCATCTCAAGCACCTGCAGGTGCTTATTATGTCATGTAAATGTCCGAAGACATGAGAGGAACATGGAATGCTTATAAAAAGGGAACATCACAACCCAAGTTTGAAATTTGCTTCTGCGATCATGTTATGCGTCAAATGTATATATTGATAGAAGATAGAAGATAGAAATTAAAGATAAAAAAAAGTTATATTCCTATTTATATAAGTTATGAGGAAAGATTTTTCTTAACAGAGCAGCGAGATTTCCTCAATCTTATCTGCTATCGTATATATGTATATGTGTATATATTGACTATGTGATAAGCAAGTGAATAAATGAAAGAAATGTATGACTAAGTTAAATGTTTATGATTGTATATTAGCTGACGTAAATAAAGTCACTACCTACACCACCAAGGCTAGTTAGTAGAGATTCTATACCTTTGGAGTCCAAAAAGCTAAAGTAGACAATGATTATTGACATACAAAGAAGAACCTCAAGATAAAAGGTGAGAGATTTCTCCACTGAGTTCGACAAAGCTAAGCATCAATCCATATCTCATTCTCCCTTCTTGACCTGAACGAGGAGAGGGATCAATAATTTTCTCTTCTTTCTTTATTTAGTTGTGGTTGATCCTCGTGACTCCAACCCTCTCCACCCACCTCGGTCATTTGGATCGAAATCATATTTGTGACCTAAATATGATATTTTTATTGGTCTTACGCTTAGCCAAGTTTACGCACCCATAATCAAATCGAAATAATAAGAAAGAAGATTACAAGCTCGAGCACCGGTGCACGGCCTCCGACTGAATCATACGAGCCTCGATGAGATCCAATGTGCGTTGACTTCGTTGCTCGATCCATTTAGTCCTCCTTCGAAATGGTCCAACGTAGAACGTCCAAAACTTCTTATCAGGCCCAATTGTGTCGGCCCGCGCGATCAACGGGTCGTACATTAATCGATTTGCCACATTAAAACTATTTATGTTCGTTCGTGTGCTTGTGTGTGTGTGTCTATATATATATATATATATATATATATATATATATATATATATATATATACGAATAAAACGCAAATATCTCTACATCCTGGGTCGGACGAGGAGATGGCATCCGCCGGAGCCGCATCCGCCGAGAAGCGCTACTTCTGCCACCAGTGCAACCGGACCTTCACCGCCGCAGCCGCCGGTGGTGGCCTGTCATGCGCCCATTGCCACGGCGATTTCGTCGAGGAATTCGACCTCTCTGGCCCTGATCCTAACCCTAACCCTAACCCCGAACCCGACCCCGATCGTGACCTCCACTTCTCATTCGACGATGCGGATGCCTTCTCCGCCATCCCTTCCCTCCTCTCCGCCCTCATCGACCTCGCCGCACCCGGTGGCGATCGCGCTCTCGAGAGCCCGCCCGCCGAGCCCGGTGCTGAGCCGATGAGCCCCGTCGCCGCCCTTCGTGAACTCATCCAGACCCTCTCCCTCGGCGGTGCCTCCGGTGCCGGCGGCGGCGGGCATCGCTTGGTCGGGAACATCGGTGACTACCACGTCGGCCCCGGGCTCGAGCAGCTGATCCAGCAATTGGCCGAGAACGATCCCAACCGGTACGGCACTCCGCCGGCGTCGAAAGCCGCCGTGGAGATCCTTCCGGATGTAGAGGTCGGGGAGGAGTTGTTGGCTTCCGATGATGCTCAGTGCTTGGTTTGCATGGATCCCTTCGAGATTGGAACCGTGGCAAAGCAGATGCCTTGCAGTCACATCTACCACAAGCAGTGCATCCTCCGATGGCTCGATCTCCACAACTCGTGCCCTGTTTGTCGATATGAGCTGCCGACAGACGATCCTGAATATGAGCATTACAAGGCCCCTCGAGCCAATGTAGTGAATCCAGGTGGTGCTTCTGCCGCCGGAGCTGTCACTGGAGAACATGAAGGGAATTCGTCAACTCCAACTGCAGAGAGTTCTGACATTCATGGCGATCCTGCATCGCACGGACTCTGAAGGTGTGGTTCTTCACTATCTACATTATTCTTGTTTGATTCTCTTTGTGTTATATTCACTATCTACATTATTCACTATCTGCATTGCATGGACTCTGAAGGTGTTGTATATTCATCCAATATCTTTTAGCAATATCGGATAGTGTTTATCACATGTATGTTTCGGTTTGCGGTTTAGTTGCATAAATATGCCAAAATAGTTGTCTCATCCAGGACAGTGATTTTAATTTTTGGATATCGCTATTCAAAGAAACTATTAGAACATCATGGAAGAAGCTAGGGTGTTAGCTTTTCTATATTGCCATTCAGTGGTGTTAAATTGTAATGGATTATGGCTACTCAAATCTCATTGACATTGCTTTGGGGATGTTTTGATATTTAACTACTGGATATATGGTTGTTTGTTTCCTTTAGAGTATGAAGTTGATGGCTTCACGCCCTCTCTTGTCTAGTAAAAAGCATTTGATACAGCCAGGATTCCAATGAGATGTTTCATAAATATTTTTGGAAAAAGCTGATTTCTGATGGACGTAACCTAGAATTGACAGCTATGACACATGGAATCTTAATGACTGATTCTTTATTGCAGGCCATGTGTTTCATGTGGCCACCAGTTTAAGTTGGTTTAAATTTTGTCAAGTTGTAACAAGAATGTAAGAAGAATTTGGAGTGGTTTATTTCATTAGCAGGCAATTTCTGGTCAACGTAGGTATAATTTCATTCAGAGGCATGCTGATCATGAGGACAATCTTCTGCTTAACTTGATCATGTCATCTAGGGTCATGTTGATCTTGAGGTGAACCATTTGCTTAACTGATACATTTTTTTCTCCTGTTCAAATATGGAAGTAGGATTAGTTGTTCTGCTACTTAGATAAGTAATGACTTCACATGAGAAAAAGTGGTTCACACCTGGATACGACGACGACGACGACAACAACAAAGCTATAAGCCCTGACTATCTAGGGTCGACTATATGGATCTCTTGCTGCCATTAAGATTGTAAAAAGTCACATGTTTAGTTAGACTTAGAGTATTTAAATCTTTAGTTATAGTTTCTATTAAGGTCTTTTTAGGTTTTCCTTTGTCTTTTCTATTACTACTAATATTAATCATTTCTCTTATTTTAACTATTGCATTCATAGGTCTCCTAAGCATATGCCCATACCTTTTTAAACAATTCTCTTTTATCTTATCCTTTATTGAAGCGATACCTAGTTGTTCATGAATAAAAATATTTTTTTTCTTATCTTTCCTAATAACTTCATACATTCATTTCAATACTTTCATCTTAACAACATAAATTTTTTGTATATATTATTTTTTAACTGCCTAACACCTGGATATTGTGCTGATTCATCTTAGCTAGAACTGACTGTGTGATTTTATATTTGCGATCTATTTCAAAATGACATATTGCAATGACATCTTGATGTCAACTTCTATAGTTTATTTGTTTTTCTAGGGATGTATTTTGCATTAAACAATCGAGGATTTCATAGCTGATTATGAAAAAGGTTAGGTTATGAAGAATGGTCAGTGGGGAAGAAGGGTGGCTCCACAAATTAGATGCAAGGCAAACTAATGAAAAGGAACCACTCATTGCAATCCTTGTGAAGTTTTTCTCAATAGGTTAGCAATGGATGAAAGCATGCTTTAGATGGAAACCATCAACATTTTTGCAAGCCAAAGGCAATTTTTTAACTATATACATTTATATACACGTTTTTGCGGACTTCTAAAAAGTATGGACTTTCCTTGGGAAGATATGATGGATGGGAAGGCATCAAGATATTTGTGTATAAAAAGTCTAGGGTTCTTGCATCTAAGCCACAGAGTGCTTAATGTGACTGTTGATCTTTGGTTTTAGGACAAGGCAATTTCATAGTCCGTCTGCAAGCTTTGACATGCATGTTCTCATTTTGTCTATTCATTTGGCTGTGCAGGAAGACCTGAGAATGCATCTCAGGTTTGAAGTGTCTTGCTCGCAGGTGTAATGGATATTCCCTTTTTCTAAAATGTATTGATCTATGGTAGAGTTGGTTCCTTTTGGTCAGTGTTGAATTTTGTCTAGGTTATTAGTTTGGCAGCATTTAATATTTGACTTGATGTTCAGACACCTGGGTTTGTATAGTATCTTTTTTTTTTTTCTGTTTCTGTTAAGTTAACCTTGTCTGAAATGGGCCACAGAAACTAAGCCTTAACAACATGGTTGTATACAGGTTAATCCATTTTATGCCTCTTTCTATGCAACCATTAAACTATAAACTAACAGAAAACATTCACTCATTTATATACTAGGTTTCGTGTAAATCTTATTGGAACTGAGACCACAAAGAATTGTGCTGGTGATGTTTGCTTGTCTTGCTTTTTTTAAGGTTAACTTGTATGGTTCAGACCTGACAATCTTTGCGGCATCGTTGCCTATATTTGACTGTCTGAAACCAATATTGCAATTTAGTGCTTGTATTATGGTGTCAACAGGTTTTAGCAATTCTGTACTGTATCTGCAAAGGATGCATTGTCAAATGGGGATGTGTTAGTGAAGAAAGGGTACATTTTGGTGCTAGATACATATCCACTTCTTTGTTTGGAATTTAGATGATCAAGTGCTGTTCTAGAAATGTATGCTTGTCTTGATTTTGCAAGATGGTGTCTTTTATTTTCCTTTTCTTGTAGTTGCTTCATGAAGTGCATCAAGATGATGCTTTGAAACATGAAGTACATAATTTTTGTGGCAATTACTGATAACGAGATCACCAATTAATTTTTTGTGACTTTCCAGAGGATGATTGGCCACCTAGTCTGGTTGAGTAAAATGTGTCCGACTTCCTTCAAAATGTGTTATATGATGTTCTTGGCTTCATTTAAGCGACAATGTCAGTATATTTTCTTGCTGGATTACTTTACCTGTTGAGTTGGGGTGGGAATATGACCTTGATACATGTGTAACTTCATCATGGATGCAATCAGACTCATGGTCGGATCAATTTGGAAAATTGTTCAGTGGAATGGCTGGTTGATTCATGCTTTAAGAATGCGTTATATTTTTGTCATAACCCTTTTTGAGTCTCACTTGAAGTTGATAATTCATTAGCTTGGGCCTTTGTGGGTTGTTCGTAGACCATCTCCTGCTGTTAGGTTAGATATAGTAGGTGATTTAATGCAAAGTAATGCAACACTGCATTGTGACTAAGATTGGGCTTCGACAAGTTGAAGCTTGTTCAAAATCTCAGGTTCTTTCGTTGAAAAAGTATGTGACTTCTACTGGACTCGGTTGTATAAGCCATTATGATGAAGTTCAGAATTTCCTTAAGGATGGGCAAAAGATTAATGTTATCCCTCGTCACTGTTATTTTGTTTCTCAAAGCTGGGTGACTGTCTCAGGAATATTAGCTACTTCAATTTCTACAGATGTTTTGGAGGCACATAATTTGTTAGTTTGTAGAGTTTGGATTTTGTTCAAGAGCTTCATTTATATTTTAATATCAACTTATTTCAGCCAACGCTGGTGACTGAACTTTGTACTTAATTACCTGCCGTATAAAGTGCGGATGGTAAAAGAAATGCTTATAGGCGCTCATTTAGTCCATCACATTTGCATGTCTAAGAAGTTCCTATGGTGTTTTTCTCTTATTCTGACTGCACATGTTCTGCTCTCTCTCCCTCTCTGCCCCTGTTGGATGATTACCTTTGGACTACATTCAGACTGCTGTACAGATACTGATTAAAGTTAGCCAGTTCCATTATTGGTCGGTAAACGTTTGGTGTTTTTTTTGGTGTCTTCCAGGTACTCGAAAGAGGAGCTGCTGCTAAGATCATGTATCAGTATCGAGTGTTGACGGAGTCATACCTGGAAAAGAAATCTATTGAATTTCCGGGTTAGATCACAGTGTTTGGAGTGTACTTTTTCTGAATCCGTGCCTTCCCCTACCTGCATTTATACTTGTGTTTCATTCCTCTGTTCGTTGTCAATGGATTCTCTTTTGTATGATATATATATAAACAATTATTGGCATTATTTTCACATACTGGGATTTAAATTCTTTCCTTGTTGTTTCTTTTGACACAAGTCACAGATATGGATGACCAGAAGATGATGGCTTCAAAGATGCCAAGAGAGGTCTTACGTATCTCTTTCTTGTGGAAGAGATGGCAAAGGTGTGTCCCAACTTTTCTCAATTGCTCCATAAAAGATGATGTCAATTTCTCAATTGACTAAATACGTAGGATCAGGTCCCACTTATATCCAGTGAGTAGACATAATTCAGCCCCAAAATGTTGGTCATGATTAAGAATTATATTGCAAGAACTTGGTTCATAATATAGTGTCACCGGCTAGTAGCAACCTTTTCCATATTCCTTCTACGTCTGGGTAGCATTTGCTTATGGAAGCTTGACGCATGGACTAAAATTTGTCACCCAAAGTCGGTCATGTTAGCTTGTCTATCGAAGCATTTATGATTCGGAGAATGCTTCCAGGTCGCAAGGGGTTACGAGACCTCAGTCTCGACCAATAAAATTACTAAGCCTCCAGGAACTAAGGAATGATCGGCGTGAGCAGGTGCTGTCGCCCGTCTCTAAACAGAGAAATAGTTTGGGGATTAAAGGGACGAAATCGATTCCTCCCAATAGAATAATAGCTTTTTATTTCGAGCTCGGCTCATTAATAAACGACGACGATGAGATTTTAGCCCCTTACGATGAACTCTAAATATCTTTAGATCAAATTAAATTAAGATATAACTGTGTGATTATATATATTTAACGAGTTTTAATATAAAAACAATAATTTTATCCCACGGCTAACTCTTCTCGCCTCCGATGTTCCCGCCTCCGCCGCTCTCGCCACCACCGAGAAGAACTCATCAACTCATCCACCTCTTCACCTCTCTCATCGATCGCTGCGGATGCATGCGAGAGCTGAAGCAGATCCACGCCCAGTTCACCACCTCCGGCCTCTCCAACGACGACTTCCTCCTTTCCAAGCTCCTCCTCTTCTCCGCCGTCTCCGACGCCGGCGACGTCGACTACTCCTACCGGCTCTTCCAAACGCTCCCCAGGCCCTCCGCCTTCTCCTACAACGCCCTCATCCGCGGCTTCTCCAAGTCCAAGAGCCCCAACCGCTCCCTCTCCCTCTACGTCCGCATGCTGCGCGCCGACGTCCCGCCCGACCACCTCACCTTCCCTTTCCTCGCCAAGTCCTGCGCCCGTCTCTCATCAATCACCCTCGCGGCCTCCGTCCACTGCCATGCCGCGAAGCACGGGCTGGAATCGGACCGCTTCGTGTCGAACTCGATGATACACATGTACGCGTCCTGCGGCGACGTGGCGTCGGCGTGCAGGGTGTTCGACGGAATGTCCCACCCGAATGTCGTGTCCTGGAACTCGCTGGTCGACGGGTACGCCAAGTGCGGAGACCTGGCGGCCGCGCGGGAAGCGTTCGACCGTATGCCGGAGCGGGACGTGGTGTCCTGGAGCGCGATGATCGATGGCTACGTGAAGGGCGGGGAGTACCGAGAGGCGCTGATGCTGTTCGACATGATGCGGGCTCACCCCGCCAGGCCGAGAGCCAATGAGGTCACCATGGTCAGCGTGCTGGGCGCGTGCGCCCACCTGGGGGCGCTCGACAGGGGCCGGGTGATGCATGCGTACCTGAAGGAGAAGGGACTGCGCTTGAGCCTAGCGCTGGCCACTTCCTTGGTGGACATGTACGCCAAGTGCGGATCCATCCACGAAGCTCTCGGGGTGTTTCGAGATGTTCCAGTTGAGCAGACTGATGTTTTGATTTGGAACGCCACGATCGGCGGGCTCGCCATGCACGGGTTGGGCAAGGAGTCGGTGCAGATGTTCGAGGAGATGCGGAGCGCGGGTGTGGCGCCGGACGAGATCACGTACTTGGCGTTGCTGAGCGCGTGCGCTCACGGAGGCTTGGTGGAGGACGCTCGGGGCTTCTTTCGATCTCTGGAGGAACCGGGCATGACACCGCACATCGAGCACTACGCTTGCATGGTGGACGTCCTCTGTCGAGCCGGGGAGGTGCGGGAGGCCTACGGGTTCGTGAGGACGATGCCCGTGGAGCCGAGCGCGTCCGTCTTGGGAGCTCTGCTCAGCGGCTGTCGAACCCACGGCTGGGTCGAGCTGGGGGAGGCGGTGGGGAAGAGGCTGATCGAGATGGAGCCTGATCATGATGGGAGGTACATCGGCCTGTCAAACGTGTACGCGGTGGCCAGGCGGTGGGACGAGGCTAAGCTGATGAGGGAGGCCATGGAGAGGAGAGGGGTGAGGAAGGCACCAGGTTGCAGTGAGATTGAGGTGGACGGTAGCGTGCACCGGTTCGTCGTCCACGATAAAACTCATCGGCTGTCGACCGAGATCTACTCCACCTTGAATCTTGTGGCGGTGCAGACGAAGATGGAATACGGCAGCAACGTTCCCGGACTCGTGATCTGAAGAAGGTGGGAGCAGGCTGCGCACTGCATTCATCCATCAAACAGATTGAGGTGGTGACTTCGAACCACGTTGCGTTCCATGGCTTTCGGTAGCTTCATCTGCTGGACCATTGACTGCGCCACACGAGATGGAGGTATCATTATAATTGTTCGATAATATGCATGGAATGCAGATCATCGGCCTTGATAATATTTTTTTCTATGTTTAAGCTCCACTGTTTCTTTCTTTCCTCGAGAGATAGAGGGAGAGGACTAACCATCATTAGAATAATAACAATTCGATAAAATGCAGAATAGGAATCATGAGGTAGGAACTCGGGGATTGCATGTTTAATGAAACACCAATAATGAGTTCAGAAACAAATGCATATGAGCAAAGGTTTTGGTAGACCCAGCAAGCAAATGCCTACCATCAAATATTCATAATGCAGTAGTAACTTGAATACAATAATACAATGATATCCAAGTAAAATGTCCAAAGTCATGCATAGTTTCTTACTAAACCAGATATGACACTTAGAACTATGCTTATTGAACTATTGTTTCTCATTTAAGAGTAAAACTTGGAATGGCATACTACTTCAAATTCTGGACGTCCATTATATTAGGAAAGAATTATTTTTTTTATTTTTCAGATCACATTCTCACAACACCATATAAGATGATGAAATGCTTCAATAGTGCAGTCTTCCAATACTACACTATGTGCTACATCAACTAAGATTTATGTTTCGTGAATTTCTTTTAAAGGAGAAAATTGTAAGCTAATGGTTGGATACTCCATAACTGTTCACTGGATTTTTGGGATTAGATTTGTTTTTCTCATAATATGTAAAAAGGAGTGTTTGAAAAAAAAAAATTAGGTCAAGAGACTGATTGTGTTGTGATTATTGATTAGACAAAAGATGACAAATGTTAGTGAACCTTTACGCCGTGGTCGATAAGTCAGCGCGATTTGATCCGATTGTTGATGTCCAGGATCGTCCCGGAGATGAGACTTTTGTCGGGTCGGGTTGAACTTGAGGTCGGTCCGGAAGTGCCTCTTCAGTGAGCATGCCTTGTTTCATTGCCGTCGAATTCCTACACACTGGCCTAGATTGGGATGGGACGAGTTTCCCGACTTAAACCCCCTCCAAAGATCAAGTCAGTGGAACTTTTGTAGAAAATTTGTCTCCCCCTTGCCAAATGCTGGTAGGGAGCTTTTATTCTAGTGCTCGATGGCCATATGCAATCTTTGTGCGACGATCGACTCTCTGGGTAGCAAGTTTATACCTTCGAGCGATCGTCGTCCTGAGCTTTTCGGAGCGATCCTTGTCGGGATGATGCTGGCTCGTGCAGCTCCAGACGACACGAGAGGAGAGCGACCGTCATCCCAAATTCGCGATGGCACGTCCAATGTGACGCCCCGTCTTCATCTCGACGCTTCGTGTTTGCGCTAATATGGTTGAAGACAGTGTCCACATGACGAGATCCACAATATGCTCTATTAACAAATATATTAGTCATTGAAGATAAATATATGTCATGTTTTGTCTAATCATATTCGACATGGAATTCATAACAATTATATTCGACAAAAGATCATCAAAGTTCAATTCGATGGTTTATGATGGAACTGTCATCGATTTATCGGCATGAAATTCATGTAAACTACGTTTCTTTTGGTTAAATAGGAAGTTTTCCTCAACATATTTCATCATGTTATATTTGTCATTGCATATTTAATCATCTTTTCCGAGTCTCATCTGACTCACCTGTTGATTCCGTAAACTCGATCGATTCGGACGAGTCGAACCGAGTTGGCGGAACCAACCGGTTCGTCTTTCTTAAAGCCCTAAGCGAACCAAACCCCACCGGTGGCTCCTCCCTCTGGCCTGCGACTGCTCTCCTCGACATCTCCCTCTCGTGCCTTGGCGAAGCCGCCGGCAACCTCCCGTTGTCCGAGCACTGCCTCTCTTCGATCACCAACCGCCGCTCGAGCGCTACTTCTCTTCAAGCGCCTCGCATCGAGAGGTTAGATCGCTCCTCCCTCTCTGCTCCTTCCTCTCTTCTCTCGGGCGCGGCCTACATCCGCCGCCCTCGCTCTTCTACTCTTCTCTCTTATGCTCCTTCCTTACCTTTTCGGTCTTTATCCAGAGCCGCGGTACTCATTGTTGATAAGGGAAGAACCAGATTATGGTTCCGATGCTTGTTTTCTTAGATGTTGGTGTGTTATTGTTGATTTTCTTTGCTTTGTACCGATAGATGTTTGATTGGAGTCGAGATATTGTCTATCAAGATTATTGTTAAAGATACGGTGTTCTTTTGTAAGCTAATCTGAGTTTATATTTGCTTCTATTTTCTTTCCATGTCTGCTCAGATAATACCTTCGGCTTGCTCATATTTGTAGATGCTACATAGCTGTTGACTAGTTATTAACATAGCATTTGTTCCTTGATGTAGATATGTCTAGCACATAACAATGCGCTATCAACGGCTTTAATTTAGGTTTGTCAGGTCGATTCGCTCCATGTGGCCTTCAGTTGAAGGCTTTTTTTTTTTTTCTTATTTTACTTTCTGTTGATTGTGGTGCACAAGAGTCGTCGTTGTATTCTGGAAGATGTTTTGGTTGTTTCCGTAATGGTCCAATCTTGTTTGCTTAATGGAGTATCGCCTATTTACCACTGAGTTTCATCTTATATGGAAATTGGAATGCAAGTGAAGATGCTATTGATTTCTGAGTTTTAGCAATTCGTACTGTGGATTATTTAGTAGCTTTTATTGGGATTCATGCTTTCCTTTTGCAAATAATCTTTTCTTCCATCCTCTGCATACCGTATGATACACTAAAATGTTGTAAAATTCATTATTTACCTTTTTTTTTGCAGATGGCTTGGAGAGTTCTAAGGAAGAAGGTAAAGCATTCATTTTACATCTTATTCAAATTTTGAAAACAGGGTTATTTCCTGAGCATGGCATAGCAGAGTCAATCCTTTTTTTATGAATGATATTAGTTGAATCAGTTATCCTCAGGTTTATTTTTCCACATGTTGTTTAGTGTTCTTTTTCTCATTTGAGATAATGAATTTGGCTACTTGTTTTCAAATTTCCGAATGATTTTCAGACTAACTTTTTCTCATCGTAGGCTTGAATTTTTGTTTGACTGGCAGTAATTTGCTTTTGCTTATAGTACATGACTTATTTTTTCTGTCACTTTGTTTCTTTTGTAGGGTACCAGTGCCAGCTTTTTGAATGCATTTTTATCTACTCATTCAAAAGATGCGACACATGTTATCTATGGCTCATTTGGACAGATACTAGGTAGTCTTCATGGCTTTAGTTAATTCATCTTGCTCTGGAGTTAAGAAATTCACTGGTTAAGTCAACTGGTTTATCATTTTCTATGTAGTCACCTAAGTTTGAAAGATGAATTCGTGATAAGAATTATGTTTAGCTTTCTTGATGTGTTGATTAAACTTTCATTGACCTTGAGTAATCTTCCAAGCAAAAGTTTTGTCAAATTTGATCTATGGAAAGAGAAGTATTTTGATTGATTACCAGAAGTAAGAATACATTTTGATGCTCGCTAACTAGGGTAGACTATTTGATCAAGGCATGTAGTATCCCTTTTTTGTCCTGATTGGATTTTCCTTCAAAGACCAGTTTTCTTATGCCCTTAGTTGTCCTATTTCATTTTTATTTAATTACACATTTCTATACAATCATATTTTTAATTTTTACAAAGATTTTGGAGCCAAATGTGCTGGTTCTCAAGAACCAGTATATTTTAATTCTCTGTCAGTAGGTCGTTTTTCTCATCTTTATTTGAGAAGTTACTGTTTTCAAGAACAGGATATTCTCCTACTTTGTTTTCCATTCTTTACCTGGTAGTCATTAGCTTCTAATATGACCATAGTCATCTTCCTACCTTTGTGGCTTTCCATACTCTAATTTGTTCTATCACTCTTTATCATCTTCCTACCTGTGTGGCTTTCCATGCTCTTTTGATTTGCTACTCATCATTATTATCCTATTCTTCCATCATTGCTGTCACCTAGCCCTTTCTTGCTTAGTTGTTGGCTTCTTGCATAATCTAAAGGTATGATATCTTCTTATTTTGTTTCAGATGTAATCTTTTTGGAATTAAGGTTTGTCATACCATAATGTACCGCTCAGTACGGGCAGTATATACCGGTCTGATAAGAGATCGATACAAGCAGTACATCGGTACGCCCCCATGTATTGTGTGTCAGTACACTTGGTATGGCTCGGTACAACTCAGTACGTACCGTACCAACAGCTGGTCAATACATCGGTATGGACCGGTAAGACGAACTATGTTGGGAATTGTTATTGAAATTGTCTCTTCTATAGATTTATTTACTTCAGAGTTGATTATGTATTTGTCTTATTAATCCAAAAAATTAAATTAACTATAAAAAGAAAGGGCCTGTATGAGTGCTCTAGTTTTGAATAGGGCTAGTTTCTGATGATGTGGAAGGTGCACTAAGTCTTTTGTGTATTTGTGAGATGAGTAAAAAGAAAAAGGGGAAGGCAGGAGAAATGAAAAGGAACTGGGTTGTTCGGATGGGACAAGCAAGGAGAGAGAGGACAGAAGAAGGCTGAAATTACTTGTGTTTTCAAGGAAATACTTGGATTGGTAATCTTACCTGAGTAGTTTATCCCTTGCTGACATTTGTATATGTGAGCTCCATGAAACTGTTCTGGTTACATTCGTGCAAATTGGTATTTAAATGTCTGTCATGTGTACAATTAAAAGAAAAAAAAGATGCTTGGCTTAGGTTGTGTAACTTCTGTGAAGTTTCTGTCATAAACAACAATAAAAGAATCTGATGTCTAATATCAGTGTGTAAACCATATCTGAAGTAGTTCTGATATCATAACTGCGATCATAAACTCCTAGAAGGCCCACATTACTCATGACTGCATTGATTGATTGAAGTACTTTGTGTGACACACCATAGGCAGCCAGAAAATTCTAGAATCCTCCCATTTTCCTAGGCTGTGTAATTACCTTTGCAGAGCAATGTTTTAAGTCAATATGTTTTTGATGAAGATCTGTTGACTTACATTCTTGGAGAAATTTCAGTAGTCTGTTGACAACCACTCTCCGCTAACTATTAATAAACCAACCTCGTGTATGTGACAGTCTGCATTCATTCACTACAAGGATCTGTGCAACTAGGCAATCCAAGTCGTACTTGACAAAGTAATATATCAACAACAAAATAAATACTGAATCTAATATGTTCTATCATTGGACAAAATGAGTTTAGATCTCTTTTTTCCACAGGAAATCTTGCGT